AGAGGTGGTGGAGGATAAGTAAGGAGTGAGGCCCGCGGCCCGGGGGGCGGGTGCGGCCCCCCGGCCGCTGCAGAGAGAGGTGGTGGGGGACGGCGGTGGTCCTCCAGCCCTGGGGACACTCGGGGCTGGATGTGTCCCCCGGGGGGGTGAGGTGTTTGAGGCTGCACCATCCCCGAGGACTGACCTGTCCCCAAGGGATGCTTGAGGATGGACCGTCCCCAAGGGATGCTCAAGACCAAAATGTCCCTGAGAGATGCTCAGGACTGACCTGTCCCCGAGGGAGGCTCGCTCGAGGCTGGACCATCCCCAAGGGATGCTCGAAGCCATAATGTCCCCAAGGGAAGCTTGGGGACAAGCTGTCCCCATGGGATGCTCAGGACTGACCCGTCCTCGAGGGATGCAAGGGGCTGGACCATCCCCGAGGGATGCTCAAGACCAAAATGTCCCCAAGGGATGCTCAGGACTGACCTGTCCCCGAGGGAGGCTCAAGGCTGGACCGTCCCCGTGGGATACTTGAGGCCAAAATGTCCTCGAGGGATGCAAGGGGCTGGACCATCCCCGAGAGATGCTCAGGAGCGACCCATCCCCAAGGGGTGCTGGGGACCAGCCCGTCCCTGTTACCCCCATTAACCCCCTTTTCTCTGATTTCCCAGTGACATTAAGAAAATCGGCGTGCGCTTGCCGGGCCACCAGAAACGCATCGCCTACAGCCTGCTGGGGCTGAAGGAGCAGCTCGGTGCCACGGGCGTCCCCCTCTGAGCCGGGAACCCCCCTGAAATACTTGAAGCGGAGGAATGAAGGGCGCTTTTTTTTGGGAGCCGCCCGCCCCGGTGGGCGCCGCTCCTCCATAAAGGAGGGGGACAAAACGGGTATGAGCACCCCTCCCCCAAAAAAGAAATCAAGTTACAATTTCAAACGTGGGTGCCAGCCTTCAGGAAAAGCAGGGTTTTTTCCTCTCCGGGCGGCCGGTTTCCCTATATTTTAATTTAAAGTGCCTTGTCCGGGCCAGGGACCGCTCTCTCACTAGATTTAGGGGGTTTGCTGGGTTTTTTTCCTTCCTGTTCTCTGCATTTCGAGAGAAGGGCTGGCGCTCGTTGAGGCGCCGGCTGTGGCTTTGCCCCCAGCCCGGGTCCTCATTTTCTTCCTTTTTCTCTATTTATTCTTCCCCCTGTGCCATGCCACAGTCCTGATGGGTTTTTTTCCCCCTTAGTGCCATTTGCTATTCTGCCAGTGTTACCTTTCTCCTCTTTTTTTTTTAACATAATTTATTATATTTTTTATATTTATTGAGGAAAATCAAAGATCTTGCCTGATTTCTGCCATTAAAGAGGGGGAAAAAAAAATCCACCTCCAGGATTCCCCCCCCCAACACCCCTTTTCCCCCCAATGGTTTAATGGATTTTATGTTTATTTTCGTGAAGTTGATTTTAATAAAACTGCGCGTTTGTTTTGTAAAAACTCCAGCCAGCAGAGTGACTTACGGAGATTGACAG